GGGGGGGGGGTTCCCATTGAAAGTGAAACACCCAAGTGAATGTCCCATCCAAATTCTATTGTAGGCAGCCATATATATTAATCTAAGATTGTTTTCTGATTCAATTTAATCTTGCATAGGTAGACTAAATTGCTAAATTTTTACCAAACTAGAATTTGAATAAATTCAAATTGTTTTATAAAAAAGCATTTGATATGCAAGGCATATCAAATAAAGTCACAAGAAACATCACATATTATTTAAACCCCTGTAAAAAACTTATTTCTTCAAAATGGTCAGTTTATACATTCAGATTTAGAAGCAAGTCACCTCCATACTAAAAGACATAACTTATTTGATTCTTCTGAATGCGAATTAAATCCTATTACTACTACTATTACATTATAAAAGCAACAGCTAGAGATTTAAATCCTGAGAAACACTAAATTACTTTGAAAACTATATTTTATTTTGTATGTCAAAAAACTATTGAAATAACCACTGAAAGAAAGTCTCCACTGGAGTGCAAAGCAATAATTATGCAGAAGTGCACTGCAGTGATATACAAAAGTTCATGAACAGAAAGTAAAAGAAAAATGCATTCAGCTGAAATGACTAAAGTTGGGTCAGTAAGATTCAACTATCTGCATTCAATTTGACTAGGACACTGGGGGTATACATCTGTACTTATGCAAGGAACACAGCATCTTTAATGACCACAAATGATGAGGAATTCTGTTTTACGTTACAGTCAAAAGTTGAACCACCAATTTCTTTTGCACCAAAGTACTTTATACTGGGCACGCCTACACTGAGATGCTTACTGTGTGGTAGCTTAACAACACTGCACAGTAGCGTGCCAGTCAAAAACCATGCTAATAGCCTGCTGCACAGTGTTATTAGGCAACTGCAGTAAGCATCACAAAAAATAGTGTGCCAGGACTACTGTACAGCAAATGTAGTTACTGCACACTTACTTAGTACTTCATTAAGTACTAAGCTAAACGCGCAGTAACTACAATGCATTAATGAACGTGTACACGCGCCAACTGAAATTGTATGCCACAGAAATATAACACTAGGGAAAAAATACAGTAAAACTGTTTAACTGCATCCTGCTTATAAGGTAAGATAACAGAATGTTATCAAAACAGTTAGTTAATATGGTAATAACTTCAATTAAAAGTTTATAATACATAGAAGCCTGAGTTTTTAGGACGCCAACATACTAAAAATATACAAATGTGTTGTATTTTTGCATCTTTATAAATTAATGAACTGTGAGAGAAATTGAGTAGACTTACGTTTCAAAAATGGCAAAGCCAAACAAGATGACGAAAAAAATAAAGTTGATTGCTACTACAGCAACATGGTCAATGTTTCCTTGGATGTCCTGACTCGCATCTTCACTTTCTGTGTAGAAACATAATAATAAACTGCAGAATTAAGAGGCTGTACAATGCATTCATGTGGTCTAATCTTATACTTTATATGAATTCATGTCTGTAGCTAGTAGAGTATAATGCGCAGTCTCTGCCAGTTTGGGTGCATACTGCTAGACAAATTTACTTAAAAAACAGTTTGTTTCTTAAGAGAAATGCAACAATATATTACCTATAATTTAAATGTATTTGCAACCCATAGACTTGAATAACACTGATATTTGAAAAATGTGATATGAGGTTTTTACAAGGTGAACATTTTGAAGGTTCTGCACTGATCAATAGCTCATCCCATACATGCTGTCACAAAACAATCACTAGATGACAATAATTTTGATTCAATACTGATTTAAATCACGTATGTATCATAACCCGAGGACGCATCATTCTGTTTCCCAATATTAAGGATGAGTTGCCTAATCCCCTGCAATATTTCTAAAAGAAAGGTGGACCTTAAAATAGAAAGATGTTGTTTGTAGACAGAGTGATAATAAATTACAGTATCAAAAAGCATCAGTTTTCAAGGAAAAAAAAAATGGTATTACCTTCCACTTCAAAATTGATGCTTTTACATTGCCTTCCCATGTCATCCACTTGATGTTCTCTAAACAATGAAAATGGTTCTTGTTAACATAGTACACCTACTTCATTTTTTAAATTCAGCAGGTTACAACAACATTTCTAATAATAAATAATTGATAAGCTCTTTCCTCCTAATTAGCTTAAGTACTTTTACCCAGTATCTCTATCATCCACCTATGCCCATTTCAAGTTGAGCTTACATGAAATTAATATGGCATTTTTTTGTTTCTACAATTCAAGCCATGTTTAAAACATAAGCTGAATAAGACCATCAGATTAAAAGAAAAACCTCTGCACAACAAAGACAAGTCAGATTTAAGGTCTTAAAGTGATTAATAAACTTAAAGCTGAGCCTATGATTAAAGGCTTGTTTAAACCACAGTTCAAGTTTGGCCTAAATGCCTGAGTTAACACTGCCAGACCTATGTACTGTAAAACAGGATCTTCTCTCAGAGGTGTGCAAAACAGCAATTACACAATAATTCTACACCATGTTCAATGGTAGGAACAGTCCTAAGGAATCAGCTTCTGGACTATGCTGCTCATTTAGCTTATTAAGGTTGATATGGATGCACCAAAAGTATAACACACAAAATAAAGGAAGTTGTGCAAATGAGAGATATTCTGAAATGTGATTGCTATTGCACATTCCAGGGATTACTATTGCATATTCTGAGTGCAGTCCCCTTCCAGTGCTTTGGTCGTCTAACTTTTTGGGAATTCTTATAGGACTAAACATGGGAATTACTCTCCACTGTAAGCTGTGGCAAGAATTAGCTGCCCACACATGCCTGTCAAGAAAAGAGAAAGACAGTCTTCCAATCCTGCTAGACTTTCTATTATTATGCTAAACAAAACCTGTTTTCAGGTCTGTCATTAAAAAAAACATTTGATCATAGATAAGAGACCAAGTCATTTGTACTAGCAAAACAAGCAAGTAGAAGAAAATGAAGAGGTGCAGTGCACCCCACAAATTATCACACACCCTTCCCAGGTTCTCTTTTACAAATAAAAGCCACTAACTGGTACATCAGGCCACACTGCTCTTTTAAAGTTCTTCTCAAAGTAACTGACATCAATCACCTAAATCAGTGAGTTTCAACCTTTTTAGACTCAAAGCACCACTACGAAAATGCCAGCTCTTAGTTTTCATCCCTTTTTTTTCACTATAGAAAAGTGCCAATTCTGCTGTTAAAGAGGACTCAGTAAGACCATAATAAATTAGAAAGCTTTTGGCACTACAAATTTCTGGGTTTACCTTATGAATTGTGCTTTGGCACCCTGTTTGAGGATCATGGATCTAAATTCACTTTTGGAATAGACTCTCTTTTTTACTGTCTCCGTTCAAAAAAACATTTGTAGCATTGGAGTTTCCTAAGCCTAATAAATAATTCTTTTCATATTAGGAACACATAAAACAGACTGCCATAGAGGACAATGTGATTGGGTGAACTTCACCTACACCTCTGGAAATGGGATAAGTTTTTGTGGCTGCAGAACATAAACTGTAGTTTAAATGATCTCTTCGTTGTAAATAACATGACAATACAATACATAAAAATGAAGAGACTCCTGCTTGAAGAAGTTCTCATTCTTAGAGACAGATGCACACAAACATAGCATCTCTGAAGCCTAGCAACTACAAAATATAATGCGAGTTAGACAGTAACTTACATGCAAATATTACATGCATCAAGTCTAAGCTGATGACACTAATAATAATTTTTTAATTTTCAACAGTTTATTAACACTAAGTTTCGTTTAGCAAAATGTGATTGCCTTTTACACCACAGAAGCTAGGAAGTTTGAAAAATAAACTAAAAACATTAAGCTTGATACATGCTGCAGGTTGTCACCGCTATTCACATTATTGCTAAGTTTGAAAGTCTTGTCTTGTACTCTAAAATTGCAGTGGATTTAATTGTGCTAAGTACAGAATATAATCTTTTATTATAAGCAGAAATATTTCACAAGCCATTGACAATCCTCAAACAAGAATACTTTCTTTTTTATCTAATTACCTGAATACGGCAAATATTAAAATAATATTAATAACCCCAAGGAGAGCTCCCAACAGAACTGGTGCTGTATACATGTTCAGCTGCAGATGAATAGTTTTCCACGTCACTCCTTTTTCTCCCATAAGAGTAAAGCAGGTCTGAAAAACTTAACATAAAAACATTTGAAAGGAGATCAATAGAACAGCATTTGACACAATAAACAGGAAATATTAACATAATAAATGTTTTATCATTCTAGGAATATCCAACTCAAACCAATGGCATCCCAACTTATTGGAAGCATATGTAGTGTTGCAGTACATGATCTCTGGAAAGCCATGTGAAAATACTGGATACCCAGCAATATAATGCTCAAAACCAGTCAAACAAGTGCACAAGACCAAGACAGCAAAGTTAACTACCACCATATTCAGAATTTACTTGCAGAATTTATTACCCATGAATAGTCTTGGTTATCACTACTTAGTCTCCCTGTTCTAGGAAAGCTTTTGCTCTACAACAGAAAATGAGAAGCGACTATATTAACTCTTCCCTTCTGTCCCCCAACCCCAACCCAAAAAAAGAAAAAAACAGGTAATAAAGTGAAAGTGAGTTTGTATATTTCTGTAGTTCTACCCTTTGCCTGTAACTGCCAGGAAGTACATCAAGTTTTCCTACCAAAATGCAGAAGCGCGTGCCAGAAATCCGCATTTTTTATATGCAAGTCATACTGGGAGATACCATCCTTGCCTGTATACCCCCTTTAATGATTTTTCCAAAGTTGACTTCAGAACCAGACAACCATCCAGAGAAGACTCTCTAGCAAGGAATTACCAGGGATGTGCTACACGTTTTATAATGCCATTTCCAACGCTAGGGGGAATCTGTGGCTATCGCTAGAATGGAGTCAGGGCTGCATGAACACATAATGTCAAACTAGTCTCCCTAAATAACATGTAGCCAGTTGTAGAGTCTGTAGTGGCACCTAGTCCAATCAGGCATTTTGGAAATGTTTTTGTCAACTAATCAGTCACAAAACAATGGCCCAGATTTGCTACATAAGTTTAGGAGCCCTTAGTAAACTGCCACCAAAAATGTAATGAACAGAGTAATACTTGAAACATTTAAATAGGACTTGCATAGTTGTGTTTTTGTAGGGGCTGGTGGTGGGAAGAGGGATATTTTGTTTAGACAACATCTACAGAGTAAGATGGGGTATGGATCTTATGGATACCCCAACATACTATGCTAACAAATCCAAAGTTTTGTTCACAATGCTCGTGTTGAAATTCCCAATCACAACAATGTACATTTGCCTCCAAGACAGCAAAGGAATGGGACTTGATTGAGAAGCATAAAGAAATAAGACACACTATACCTGGTCCTAGAATGAAGCCTAAAGCTTGGCAAGCACTAGTGTTGGCCATAGCACTAGTTCTTTCTGTAAGAGAAGTAGCACTGGCAATGTATGATCGAACTACTGCTACGTTACCTAAAAAAGATAAAAATTATTCACATAAGTGCAAAGAAATTATTCTCCAATCACAAGTTGTTCAACTTTCCTTTCTTATGTACCAGTTTGCTCAAGGTACTCATTGTTTTCCCAATACAAGAAAGTGTTTAATTTGCAAACCTTTGTACAGGGCTAGCCAACTCCTTACTTTGTCATATTAATTACCTAATAAACACGTAGTTAAGCATAAACCATGAGCTCTCTTAAGCAAGACAAAAAAAGCCATCTTCAAAAGTGAAAGTTGTACTGTAATTAATTACCTGCTCCAAACCCCACGAGGGCACGAGCAACTAGCATGTAGAATTTGTTGTGTGAAGCAGGTACATGGACATAGGCATAAAGGCAGTTAGCAGCTACTGAAATAGCAGATGAAACAACAAGAGGTTCTCTTTTTGGTCTGTAATTGGACCATAAACCAAACAGGGGAGAGGCTACCATCTGACCAATGCTGTATGATGCAATAACCCAGCCCAAGAAACTTGCATCTGCTGTCAGATCAATCTGCAGAAACAATAAAGTGATTTTAAGAAATATAGTATGACATTCATATTATAAACAAAAACAATTTTGGAATCAGCACTCCACAATAAGTAAAATTCTCTTCTATGTCTCTAGACACTGGGCACGTCTACACGTTACCCTATGGTAACACAGCAATGTGCTACATCACCACATGGCACACTACAGCAACGTAGCAATCACACGTCTACGTGATCACTAGCTATGTTGCAGTACGGCATGCTATGGCGATGTAGCAATCACGTTGTTCTACATGTAAATGCTAGCTACATCGCTATAGCAGCATGCTCCCCGCTTACAGTGTACCACTATGGCTATGTAGTGGGGAAATTTAAGCATGCACCCCCTGTACAGCGCAGTATGGGCAGTTACTGCTCTGTTCTAGTACTTCCAAAAGGAAGTACTAAAGCACAGTGCAGTAACATTGCTGAATGGCAATGCGTAGACAGGTCCACTGCATAGAAATAACAGCCAACTCTGCAGATTCTGGTCTGCTCCAAGGTTAGAGAGAAACTGAAACCATGACAGCCATATATTCAGGCTGCCCTAAGCCCAATAGGTTTCTCCCAGTGTTACCTCTACCTTAACATACCTCATCTTTGCTCAGGTCTGCAAGGTGGTCTACAGAAAAGAGACTAACAAGAATCATCTATTATTTTTAGACCATACGGATCCTACCCAAAACCTGTGTAGCTAGAGGCTACTACAGCTTTTTTTAAACCAGGCTGGAACAAGTGAGAATCACCTTCATGGCTATGTCCACACAAGTGTGAACAGTTGTTTCCGTGGGGAGAAGAAGCAGGAACACATCTTGCACCACTGCTAGCTGTCTCCAGGGAACACCTCCATCACACTCCCTATGGTGCATAACAGGTTACCCTGGGTGGGGTAACCAGCACTGGGCTGACCCCGGCAGCCTTACTTGGGATCCTGGAGGCCTCCTGGGGCTGCAGTGGTGATGCTGTGGCTCAGAGTCTGGCTAACCAGGATCTGGTCTTGGGCAGTGTGCACTGCTCCCGCATGCGTCGCTCTACTTTTTTTTTTTTTTGTTCCCT